AAACATTCATTTCGTTACGAAATGAATGTGTGTGATCGTTAACAATACATTTTATGCATTTTCCTAATAATGTCATTAAATCTTACTTTACTGGATGTAATGTTTATGTTTAATGTTTAATTCATTAGGGACAGTGCACATTTACAGTCTGTACTTCTGTACAGACTGTAAATTAGCCAGACTATAGCATAATTGCTAATTTCCATCTGTAGTCCCAAGACAGGAAGACCCAAACAACAAAAAAACATTATAAACATACAATCAAGAAATCACATTAACAAACATTCACAAAAGATACATTAAAAAGTTAGTTATAATGAGAACATGTCTGGGAATCCACAGTGTGTGTGTGTGTGTGTGTGTGTGTGTGTGTGTGTGTGTGTGCGCGTGCGTGTGTGTGTGCGCGCGTGCGTGCGTGTGTGTGTGTGTGTGTGTGTTCATCACTGCTGTGTTCTGGGCTCGGAGATGTGGTGTCAGTAGTCCATGCTTGTAGAAATCATTTGTTTCTGCGATGGAGGAATGTCCAGCGCGTGTTGGGGGCGTGGCCTCAGTGCCCCGCAGGAAGCAGTTTGTTATGTTTGTGCGACTGAGGAGCAGCACAAACCAAACACTGGTCGTAGTAAAGAATAAACTTAAATGTTGTTGTTTTTTTTCTTCTCATCTTTATTCAACATTCATGTCCAACTTTTAAAAATTCTCAGAATGTTTTTTTTTTTTTTATGAATGTGTGTGGAGTTTTCAAGTCTTGTTTTGCCAAAACGTTCCAAACATGTCTCATATACACAAATTTTTGTTTTAATTTTCTCCTCCAAAACAAAAGCTAAATTTGACTTCCTGTTAAATGCACTTTGGCAGAACAGTATTGCAGCGTGTTTTGAATATTACTTGGAGTAAGAATTGTAATAAAACAAAGTTTGCTTTTGTTCACAATGAGATGAAAATAGAAATGTAAAGTGGGAAACTTTAGATGCAGCAGCACCAAAGTGGCAGGTAAACAAGGCAAAAAGACACAAGAGTATTAAAATATATCAAACAAAAGGACAAACTGACAACATAAAATACAGTTCAGTTACTAGAAATAGCGCACTACGATCCATTATGTACATAATGTGCATCAGAGGTGGGCGAATCGATCCGATATATCAACAATATTGATACCATATTGGTATCAGATCAATAGTAGTGTGGTAAGATTGATACTTCAGTTTGAGATTCCTCCCTAAAAATGTATATTTTTTGTCTGATAAATTTTTGACTGTACCTTGAAAAATTTTCTTTATGCTTGTTCTCAAATTATATGTTTGTATTTAGGACAAATGCACACATTTTATTTTTCTATTATGTTAATGTTATTGAAGTATTTTGTGGACAGAAATGCAACCCTATGATTTAACAAAATAATTCAAAAGACAAACCTATTAAAGTTTTACGTACTGAACCACAATAAAAAGTATTGGTATCAGCGATCTTAGCCAATATTTACTTATCGGATATATATCAAAATATAAGGACTGCACACCAATAATGAACATGCACAATTGTACTTGAAAAAATGACTTCTTAAAATATTTGAAAATAAAACCTGTGCAAACAGAGATATTCAAATATAACAGAAAAAAATGAATAAATACAATCTTTTTAAATGAGTGAAATTGTTCCAGTCCCAGTGGTGAACAAAGTACTCAACTCTAGAACTTAAGAAAAAGTATTGACACTATTGTCAAATCTTTCTTGACTACAAGTAAAGGTTGCTTGGTCAAAAGTTAAAGTACTGAGGTACTTTTGAAAATACATAAGTATTTTAAAAATACAATTGATATTTTTTTAAAATCGATACATTGCTGTATTGTTTTCGGAGGACTTTTACAGAGACTTGCTGAAACCACCTGATGATGTATTGACTTGTAGAACCACTATGTTACAAAAATTCAACACAGGATGATGTAAACCCAAGAGGCGACTGTGATTGGTTCCCCTTCTTGTGAGGAGCGTAGTTTGTGTCCAATCGCATTTCTGAAAACAGCAACAGCTACACTGAGCCAAAAGGAACGTGTAACGACAAACTTCCTAAAAAGGTCGTGGTCATCATATTAGAGGAAATGTCGGCGTCTTGATCAGGCGTTTGGAGTGACAAACCTCTGTGTATGGAGAAACTGTAGTCGGCCATTTTCCAGAAGAGTTCTGATTCAACACATTGGAATTAGAGAACTTTTTCTGAACTGTGTGATTCTGTGAGAGCTCTGGTGGAACCGGCTGCACGTTGTATGAGAAAAAAAAACAATCATCCTCCTACCACTTCCTGTCGTCTTCTCCATCGTTTCTGCCAGAAGTAACATTCGTGATCATGCAACTTGTGCAATGTGAAAAAAAATATTTCCATTGCAGTTTTGCTAAATATTTCCATCCAGTTGAAAAGCCACCGCATCCTACAACAAAACCATATTAAAAATGTGATTTTCTTTATTTTTCTTTGAATGTTTCCATGAAACAAGCTTATTTTTGTAGTTTCAGTTTGCTCAATTTGATGGTTAATGGAAACCCCGCTACAGTCACAGTGGGACTATCCTACCCTGAATTGTCCTGCACTGAACATGACTTTTTCTTCTCCCCTGCGCGTCCCTCCATACGCGTCGTCTTCTCCAGAGATGAACGGCAGGTGTGACAGCAGCCAGTAAGAAAATGATTTGGTGGCAATAAATTTTGGGGACCCTCAGAGTCCTGGAGGCTCCTGGTCCTGTAGTAACGGCTCCAGTGCAGCTGCAGGTCGCTCTTCCCCTGCTGCTGAATTCAACTTCCCACACAGTTTCTTCACGTTTCCCTCCAGCCAAGCCGTAACCGAGCTCAGACATCCCACTTATTCTCCCATTAGTGCTTTTTTTTTTAATACAGAGGAAAATGAGTTGAGGATCCCCTCTATGCTCATATCCACTCCGCTGATTTGATTCTATTCCGAATAACTTAAGCCGATGTCGTGAATTCATCTATCTGTGGCACAAGACAAATTAATGCAAGAAAAATCTCCTACCCCTGACTCAGATATTGTGTAAAAATAGCCATCAGCCAGTTGCTGAATAGCCAAACCTTGTAAGGGAATACTGTGTGACTAAACTGTGGGAATATATCATTAGAATAACTCGGTGACATCGAAGCTCTGACGGCATCCATTTTCTGATGTAACCTCTCGTCTTGTTTTTAGCCGACCCGACATTTGTTACGGAAGTTCTGCTCCAGAGGAGAACGAGGGACTGAGCTTTCACACGGAGCACAGAGGTCGTATCTGGCTGTAATTATATTCATCAGCTGCAGAGGGGTGTGTGTGGGGGAAACGGGCTCAATCTCTGAGAAAATATCCAAGAGATGCTGGAGCCCCCCATCGCTAGCTGGCTACTCGTCAAAATTTTGTGCTAAAATTAGAAGGCTGTTCGCGTTTTTATTGTAAACACAATCTGAACTCTGTGTAAAAAAACAAAAAGAAAACAAATACTACAAACGTTCTGCTGCCTGTGTTAAAGAGGGAAGAAACTGTTGTCATTCATTTTGAGCCAAGTCGACTTCCAGAGGGAAGCGTGTGGCTGCCAGTGGACTAGAGAAGACTGCTCTGTATTTATGGCTGGAGAGAAGCATTTTATTTTTTTTCCGGGGATTGATTCGGTCTGGTACGGGGCCCGTGCAGCAGAGGTGGCAGAGTAAATACCTGAAGACTAATGTCTCTGTTCTGCTAATCAATACTCGCCTCATGACCACACTGCTGGCCGTGCTCCCGTTAAAAACAAATTTGTTAATTCTGACAATTTAATTGCCGCGACCATGCATGCTTGAGTGGACCGAGCAGGTAGTTCTGGGCAGAAAAGCTGGGTTCTGCTGAAGTTACTTGATTACATTTGTTTTTCTTTTAAAGTAGAAATATTTGTAATCTGCCAGTCAGGATCTTAATTTTTCATCATTTTTTGTTTTACTTCCTGAATTTAATGCTGTATGTCAGGCTGAGTGTTTGATAGACGCCAGAAAGTTTAAGATACACAAACTATATGTATAACTACACTTATTTCTCTCTCTCTGTATGTGTGTGTGTATGTTTAAATTAAAAAAAATATATATATATATATTCCTTTTAACTTGGGTTAAAAGGAACAACTTATTTCTTTGTTTTGTGACATGCTGTTTAATATTCCATAAAATTCCCTCCTAACATTTCTAAGGAACGCTATATTAATATTAAACTGAGAGTTAATGAACGGTGCATTAAAGTTCCATCCCGCTGCCTGTTTTTTTTTTTTTTTTTTCCAGCTCTTCTAACAACTCTTCTGTCCACTTGGCGTGGCGCAAACACAAAAGGCATGTGGTACATGTTAGGAGAGCTGGTAGTAATTTCACTGCTGCTAACTAAAGAATCCTCCAGGGAGGCTTAATTACAGGAAGGCCATTCTAAATATCAGTGAGCTGCATATTTTCCATGACAGGGCCCCGCTTCCTGCGGCGGCTCCTAGAGTCTGGCTGCTCCTCTCCGTCTCAGGTGATGACGCGAAATCCCCGGGATTTTCTGACGACTGACTGCGGCGAGGCGATTCCTCGACCAGAACGCGGGGATTAGCAGCTGTGTTACGGGCTGCGTGTTTACAAACAGTGCAGGCTCTCCAGCCAATCGCCTTGCCCCGTCCCGGCCTGTCCGCCATGCGACTCTTGTTCACTGTTTGCAGATTGTTGATCAGCAGCTCAAGTCCTAATGTGTTCCTCTTGTTTAAATGGGGTTTAGATAATAAACTGGTGAGAGAGAGTGTGTGTGTGTGTGTGGTGGGTGTGTGTGTGTGTTTGGATGTTGCATTCACATGTCAGCTTGACGTTGGTCTGAACCAGCAGCAGGCACCTCTGTCGTCATGACGCCAGGTGTTAAAACTGATCTGCTGATGTAGAAAAACTGTTGGTTATAAAATGAAATGAATGCATTTCCCTGTATTTTTTTTTTTTTTTTTTGTGGTCTAAAAAGTTGCAAACACTCGAGATTCAACAATTCAACGTCCATTTTTTTATTTCTGCTGAGACACATGAAGCTCTCCATGAAAAATGTTAGACAAGAAAACAAAACATTACGTTCAGTTTTACAAGACTCGAGCCTCAGATGAATGTCTGCATTCCGTCAAGCTGCGTTGCGCAACAGCGCGTTTGTCCCTCTGATTAATAACAATAAGCTTACAGCCCTCCGTGGGTGACTGTGAGCAATGCGTCCGAGCAGAGCTGCAGTGTTCGCCACGAAAACGCCAAAGCATGAGCTGAATAAGAAGAGAAACCCTTTGTCCTCCCCATTCAGCGTCCGAGGACGACATCCTGAAGCAGTCCATCAGGAGCCAGGCTCTGGCCAATCAGAACACGGAGAGCGAGACGTCCCTGGACGGGGACGACGACACCCTGTCCTCCCTGGAGGACAAAGACCTGGAGAACCAAACAGGTATGGAAGGAGATCATCTTCTTCTCCTGCCTTACAGTCAGTAACTTCACACACACACACACACACACACACACACACACACACACACACACACACACACACACACACACACACACACACACACACACACACACACACACACTGTACTTTGTGTTGCTGTTTTCTTGTTGCTTCATTTGAATAAACTGCAAAAACATAAAATCATCAAATCTTGCCAAGTATTGTTGCTCTAGTTTCTACTTCAAATATCTTGGTACACTTGAAATGAGACAAAATCAACTTCTAAGTAACTTTTCAGCAAAATGTAGCAACTTGTATTAAGTCAATAATTCCTTAATATAGATGAAAAAGTGCTAGTTTCACTTTTAACAAGACATTTTTCCCATAAGTGAAATAATCTACCTGTAGAAAAATACTTTATCAATATTAAGGAATTATTTACTAAAAACAAGCTTCTATTTCCTTGCATTTTTCAAGAGTATAAAGATATTTGGAGCAGAAAATAGACCCAAAAAAAAAAACCTGGTAATATTTTGTGTTTTTGCAGACTTGCTTTGTTATTTCATATAAAGGATGTTTTGTCATTATACTTTTAATCATAACTTTAAGTTTCCATCGTGTTGTGACATGAAGGTGCAATTCATTTTCGGAGCAATACAGGTTTTTTTTTATTACTATTGTACATCTTATTAAACATATTACAACTCCTTTATGATCTCCAGTGAACTTCATCTGTGGAGCATTAAAGACACACATGCTATCTTTTTACCCTCTCAACTCCAAAGATTTTATTTTTATCAAATACATTTTAGCAATGTCCTTTATGCTGAAACAATCTTCATTATTTTTTTATCATTATTATTATTACTTTTTTTTTACTTTTACAAGAACATGGGATTTTTTTCAAGATTATTAAGATAATAAACCTCCATACAGCTCGAGCGGGATTTTATTCATTCTCCTTTTGGACTAAATATGGTCCTAATATTTCAATAACTTTGGTTTGATTAAATATTACTCCGTTCCTCTAACCGGATTAGATTTATAATCTGGGGAAACTGGCAGCAGAATAAAGGCAGAGTGGCTTGAAATGAAGCAACAACGGGATTAAACGTTGATCCCTAACTAATGACGTGATCTGCGGAAGTGGGGAGCCGCAGCGGCTGATCCCGTCACCTGCAGCAGCAGCAACAGCAGCAGCTGCAGCAACTGCAGCAACTGTCTCTGCCCCAGGTGAAATTGTCTTTTTTTTTTTTTTTTAGTGAACGGGCTAAAAAAAAACAAGAAAGAAAAAAACAAACTGTTATTCCAACCCACGGATAACGTGTCAGCGCTCCCCGGGGTTCAGAGGGAGTTGAGCGTGGATCCATTTGTGTGTCAGCCCGCCGCTCCGCTCTGTCTGCTGGGAAATCAGGCTCCGCGGCTCCGCGGCGCACATCTGCAACACAATGCCCGCACATGTGCAGCGCCGGGCCGGCAAGAAGAGCCTCCGCTCGCTGCTCCCCTGAGTCCGCGGATCTTTGTGTCATACTGGCATAAATGAAGACGGATGAGAGATGAAGCGGCTTCTCCCGGAAGCCCGCAGTCGATGCTTCACTGACGGGGAGTCGATACTGGAAATGTCTTCAGTTTTAACGAAGTTTATTTTTGCTTTGATTTGTGATTTATTTTCATATTTACATCTCCATTGGGCCTTTAACGGCGTATTGTTGTTGAAAGACAGTTCGCAGAAGCACGTATTAATTTCAGTTGAACACAGAAGTGTGTGTGAAGTTCTGAGCGGTGTGTGTGTGTGTGTGTGTGTGTGTCCGGCAGGCCCGGTGAACCTGAGCACCAGCGCGCAGCTCGTGGCTCCGGCTGCGGTGGTGAAAGGCACCCTGTCGGTCACCGCCTCCGAGCTCTTCTTCGAGGTGGACGAGGACGATCCGAGCTTCAAGAACCTCGATCCGAAGGTAAGGAGGGCCGGGCTCTCTGTGTGTGTGCAGCGGGCTCTCTGTCTGTGTGCACCGGGCTCTCTGTCTGTGTGCACCGGGCTCTCTGTCTGTGTGCACCGGGCTCTCTGTGTGTGTGCAGCGGGCTCTCTGTGTGTGTGCACCGGGCTCTCTGTGTGTGTGCACCGGGCTCTCTGTCCCTTTCAAATCCGTTTGGAAATTAAAATCTGTTACGCATTTAATGCATGTAAATAAATAAATTAATTAAGAAATACGAAAGTACGTAGAGGGACATTTCTGCAAAAAAATACAAAATATTAAAAATGTTGTAAAACTGTTATGCTTTCTCAATAATTTTGTCTAATTTTTTTAATAAAGTGAGAAATATTGGAGAGTTCCTAGATGAGTAGAAAATCTGTTTTCATTGTTTCATATATAAATACACATATTTACATATTGATTTCTCCGTATAGAGAGACAAATGAAAATGCTGGGACCTACAGGTGGTTCTGAAACCGCAGAACTGCGTGAAATCGTTTCAATTGAACGGAGTGTGTTTATTGGACAGGGACCAGCTCTTGGTTAAATCCCCTGAACAGCACAGAAATAAATATGGCGACGGCAGTGATCAAAAGTGTGTGATTAATAATTCACTCAATAATCAGATGTAAATATTTTTTGGTGTTTTGGTCTGTTTTAGCTGAGATAAACCCCGTCAAGCATAAATGATCATGTTGCTTCATTTTGATACTTTTTCAATTTTTCTCTGATGTTCTCCTAGTTTATTTTTTATTTATTTTATTATTATTTTGAAAGCTATTGTGGACGTCGAGCCAGATCTACTCGTCAAAGCATGAGGCCAAGTTTTATTTTAATTTGCAACATTTTATTAACATTTCTTCTGAAGTCACATGATGGAAAAAAAATTATAACTTGGCACACTACAATCTTTCACTTAGCGATTTTGTGCATATATTTAAATAAAAAGGTTCTTCACTTTGTGAAAACGTTTCAAGAAGGAAATGTAGGAACATTTATCAGAAATGTGTACCTTCACTTGTTTCTGCGCCAGCGGCCCGATTTGCTCCGATTTGTTCCGATTTGCTGCGGCTGTTTTTGTTTTTCACATTTCTTGGAGACTCGGTTGCAGAAGTCTTAAAGATTTGATCCAAAAAAAAAAAAAAAAAACTAAATCAAACAAACAAAAAAAAAGTTCTATAATTTGTCCAAACTTTTGGCGTTGGTGAGGATTTCCCTCGCTAGTCTCCATGTCTGCTTGGCCGCAGCCTCCAGGGCCGAGTGAGGCTTTCCCTGAAACAAGTCCAAGTTTGGCAAGAAGTAGTGGGGGCATCTGCGGCACTGCAGGCAGGAGATGAGCTGCAGCAGGATGCCGTTCAGCCGGTCCCCCAGGCACGACTCGTCCCAGTCCGTCTCCCTCGGGTGTTTCTCGCACTCGTACAGCAGCAGGGTCTTCATGTGGTAGTTGTTGAGCGGCTGGCCCGGCAGCTCCAGGTGCCGGTCCCTCAGAGTCTTCAGGACCGACAGACACTTCTTCCTGCAGCCGCCCATCAGCAGCCTGTTCTCGGCCTCGCTGAACTGCAGCACCCAGGCGTCGCTCTCCGCCGAGCTCTGCTTCCCCGTCAGCGAGTAGCACTCTTTGGACAGGAGGTTGAAGCCCTCCGCCTTGACCTCGGCCACCCGGTTCGGTCCGGGCCAGGGGATGTGCGGCATGGGCCACTGCGCCGCGCTTCTGGGCCAGATGCCCGTGCACTTGAAGGCGGGGGTGATCTGCACCACATACCGCTCCCTGATCCGCAGCTTGACCTCGCTGGTGTCGGCCACCATCTTCACCACGTCGCGGTAGCTGCACTTGTCCACGGCCTGCGCCACCAGCGTCTGGAACCGGGAGCGGATCTTCCGGGCCGAGAGGTAGCCCGAGGCGGTGATGAACTCGACCCACAGCGACATGCTCCTCTTGCGGCCGTCGCTCAGCTTCAGCACCGCGCAGCCGGGCAGCGAGCCGTCGTCCACGAAGTTGAAGACCCCCATCTGGTTGAGGTAGAGCACCACCTCGAACTCGTTCGGGGAGATGACCTCCATCCCCTCGTAGCGCGCGTCGATCTCGCTGAGGGAGCTGATGAAGCGGGGCTCCTGCACCTCCACCTCCTTCAGGACATCCGACACCACTTTGCAAACCTCCCTGATGGTCTTCGCAATGGCCGCCTTGCGCGCTTGGCATCTCTCGTTGTAGTATTTGTTGAGCTGGTACACCAGCTTCGCCTGCGTCGCGATCATGTTGGGGCAGAGGTCCGGGCTATACACCGGAGAGTCGCAGTAAGTTGACGGATCCAACGCTTACCGGTAAAGCCAGAGGCAAGAGCTTCCAGAGCAGCGGGGAAAAAAAAAGAAAAAAAATGTTGGATCAAAGTTTTTTTTTTTCTTCTTTTTTTTTCTTCCTTTTTTCTCTTTTTTTCTTGCTTTTAGCAGCGGATGGACGTCAGTGTGAGAAGGAGGAAGCGGATAGAGATGGATCTGAGCAGATTATCAGTCCCGGTCAGGAGCTCATCCAGGGACTCATATTCAGGTTCTGGGTCGGAACCAGGTGGCTGCACAGGCGTAAAGACACCGCGCCGCTGGAGCTTTCATCTCTTCTTCGTGCCTTTCTCTGCCCTCGCTCACTTTTCGTCCACTCTCCACTCGGCGCTGGGTTTGAGTAGTTTATGAATGGCTCCTTAAGGAGAGTGAAAGGGGGCCGGGCTTCTCCTCCCGCAATCATGTGCGGAGCTGTCACTGGAGGCAGCCAATCAGCGCCAGCCTAGAGGATGACGGCGCTGCCGGAGCAGCAGCGGCGGCGGCGGCGGCGCGGCTCACCGGGCTGCCCGCCGCTCGCAGCTCCACGCCGGGATGCAGAACCGTCCGACTTTGAGCCCAGCTCTCCTCTTCCTTCCAGTTGATCTTTGTCTGATGCGGTCGGTCCGTTTAAACAGCAGACATTTTACAACCTGCTCTGCGCCTCTTTGCTTCTTTTTATGTTTTTATATAGCATATATGTATATATTTAAATAGACATTTTTATTTGATTCTTTTTTGCTTTCTTTCTTTCCTTTCATCACCGCCATCATTCATTTCTGCCGTCAGTTCAGCTTAAAACCTCATTTAACCGCCTTACTTGAAAATATATAGGCTATATATATATATATATATATATATATATATATATATATATATATATATATATTTTACCCGTTTTTAAATTATTTCCTAAATTAATGTAAATTAAAATGCCAAAGGCTTCCATGTTTTTCCTCGTTTGAGTATTTGTTTGTGTGAATTAAACTCGTATTCAGTATGAATTGTAAATATTTAACGGCTCAGTTCTTGTTCTACTGAACGCGGTTCTGAACCACCTGCAGCTCGGCCTCCGAACACCAGCGGCTCGGTTCGCTTCACTGTTCTCCTCCGGAACCGATCGAACGAACGTGTTCAAGCCTGTTTAACTGACCGGACTCGGTCCAAGCATTTCAGTTAACATTTAGTCAGAAACCTGATGCATATTCAGACCGCAGATCCTCCTCTGCGTCTTCCTGCCTCACGGTGGGTTCATCTCCATTAACCTTGTCCATGCTGAATAATTTAAGCATGAGGTTCTGATTGAAGTCCCTCATGTCAGCTGTTGGACTTCTTGTTGCTGAAGGGAAAAAAAAAAAAAAACTCCAGAAAAAACAAAAACAAAACACCCACACAGCAGAGGTGTGAGCCCTATTTACAGTCTGAATGGAGATAAATATTCTCCTGTAGGGACAGAAACTTTTAGTGTTTTTTGTTTGTTTCTGTTTTTTTGCATTTTTAAGCTTTTTTTTTTTTTTTTTTTTTTTTTTTTAATGCTCAGTCCAGAAATTTTGAAAAAAAAAAAAGAACAAAAAAGTGTTTTGGTTAAAAGTTATTTTGTTTTCAAGTTGAATTTTTGCGTACCTTTGCGATTAGAATGTAAATGACTTTTCAAACGTGTGAAAAGGATTGGGAACGCCGCCGCAAAAACACAATCCTAACAGAGGACCTTTGGTCTACTTTCTAATGCAAACACATTAGTGCACTTGAAATGAAACAGAACTAACTTGCAAGTAAGTTTTTAGAAACACAGGAGCCTGTTTTAAGTTTATACTTTCTTAATATTGATGGGAAAATGCCACTTCCACTGGAGGCTTTTCCTTTATATTATAAGTGAAATAATCTGCCAGTGGAACAAATGCTTTTCCATTAATATTAATGAATTATTGAGTTAAAACGAGCTCCTGTTTCTTGCTGAAAAGTTACTTATGAGTTTATTTTTGCCTGATTTCAAGATATTTGTTCTATAGAAATGAGAGTAAAATCCTCTGTAAGTTTGAATGTTTTTGCAGTGTGAAGTTCTGTTTCCTGTTCCTGATCAGACCTGCTGCTGGACTTTTCTGCTGCTCATGTTGGACAGCAGAAAATGTCCTGCATGCTAATGTCAAACTAAAGAATTCAGACTTTTCTGAATTCTTTAGAACAAATGGAAATTCATAATTTTATTTACTGCTGAATTTTTTTTCAGATGAGGCCAAACATGTACTTGCACATTACTCTAAAAACTCGCATTTTTGTGTACATATTTTAGACCCGGACATCAAACTAATCCAAACTGAGCAACATATTTAATAAATAATAGAGATGATTGATCTTTGCCTTCATGGCTACCGCAGAGTTAAGACTTTCTACGGTTCAAAAACTGGTAAATAAATTGCTAACATACAGTTATCTGAGTTTGATTTTTCATGCCCAGATGAGTGAAACATTCTGGTGTTTTTTCTCCAGTAATGACATCAGGTTTCATTTATGAGCTCATTATTCTTTAATGTAAATAAGGCTTGTTAAACCTTTAGAAAATGTTCTTCTCCTCTGGTTTTGCTTGAGATGACAGACTGTGTTTCATGAAGGAGGAAATCAGACAACGATGAAGCAAACTGCTTGCACATTTCTGAGCTTTTTGTTTACGTCCCATACAGGAAGTTAAATGACATTTTAGCCCCATTAAACCGGTTTAGTGTGTTAATAACCGATCCCTAACAGGAAAAAGAGAATTATTAATGTGTGAGCTGGACATTTGGTTTCTCTATGTTGCCCAGCTGAAACACTACCAACTTAACCAGAGTTATTTAGAAAATAGCATTTGACTCTACTGCTCTGTACTTACGAGGGCAGACAGTTGTTGTTATCTCGGCGCGGTTATAGAAGATGAAATAAGTCGGAAAAAATGCTGGGCTGTTGGATTTCAGGGTGAATGTTTCTTTCCTGCCCTGCTGCCCCTCAGAGGTAAATCGACACCGCTTGGATCCAAATGTTCAGAAGGATATATTCACTGGAGCTTGGTGAAATGTTTGACTTTCAGAAGATAAGTGCATTCTGAACAGCATCCTTAGGATCTGCTTTGCATTTAATTAGAGTGCTAAATGCTACATGTGTTGGATTCTATGGAATGAAACTTTAGGCAAAAAGATGGAGAACTTTTATTAAATTCCCTTTGTAAAGGTAATAGTGAGGAGCAGTTTAAAATATTAGCAGATTAGTGTCAAAATGCAGTGATTACAAGGATAAAAATACAAATCTATAACACTGCCGTCAGCTTTTACATTTATTTTCTATCATTTTGTGTGGAGCTTCCCGTAGATGAGAAAGTAACACTGGGACTTTGCATAAGAGTTATAATAATCAGACTGCATATTCCTTCATTTCCTCCTTTTTTTTCAGTTTTGAGTCATCCACCTTAACTTCTCCTGTTAGTTCAAAGGAATAATAACAGATATAATAAAATTTTCTTTTTCAAAGTATAAAGCTTAATTACATATAAGTTATTTGGCTGCAGGGTCTTAAAACCAGCTAAGGCCGGCGGTGGTGACACCAGGACAGTCATCGATTACCCGACTGTGTTTTTGATTAATAAATGTTTCAAGTTGACAGGAAATATGAAAATATGACCAGGTAATTCAGAGTTATTGGAAAACCTCATTAACACCAATTATAAAGTTTCAGAAAAGATATAGATAAAAAAATAAATAAAAGACTTAAAATAAGTGACTTTTTTGTTTTTTTGCACTTTAGTTGTTTCATCCTAATTAAAGGGTTTTGATTCTTTATTCGGATAACAAATGTTTCGCCTGGTGGGGGAGCAAGTGAAGCCTGGTGGCCCGCCAGGCTTATAACACACTGGAGAAAACCTTGAACTGAGAACAAATGCACTGTTATGTTAAAAAAAAAAAAAACAGATTTTTATTTTTTTTTATTGTTGTGGCTGTGCTTAATGTTGCATTCACAAAGAGAGAGACAGAAAGAGAGAGTTGACATGTTTTTGTTTCAATTCATCTTCTGTCTTGAGCTGGCCCTCATCAGCCACCGTCTCAGCTCCCCTTCTCTGCAGGGCCCTGCGTAAGAATAAATGAAGTCAACGTAGTTTTGTCTCACGGTGAAAGTTTTAGCCATTTCCCTCCCCATTCCTTTCACTTATTATCTGCTACCTGTGTGTACGACTAACCTGACTGGCCTTCACGCACTCATATCTCTTGAAAACATTAGGACTTATCTGCGCTTGCGGAAAAGTCTCTCCTTGATTTATAAGGACTGGATAAAAGATCAAGAGGCTGTCGAGGAGCCCTTTGATCTCAGCCTGTGTGACTCCGCTAAGAAGAGCACAAAAGTGTCCGTGGCTCTGCAAATCTGTGCCAGCTCATGAGCAACCCCACCGCTTCACTTTTTCCTCCCCTTTCCTTTTAGTCCTTTTCTTTTTAGTTTTTAAAACATTTTTTTTTCAATGGTTTTAGCGGTTTTCATACACGGTGCCAATTAAAGTTGAGCTGAAGTGAAAGAGAAAAGATGATCTTGTCCTCCCAGACCAGGAGTACACTGCCTTCAACGTTTGAAGAGACGTTTTAGCTCTAGTTCTTGCTGAGTACATTTTGTCTAAGTTCATTTATTTGGTTTTGAAGATATTTGGAAATTGCAGATTTTTTGACAAATTAACTTCCATGAGTGGAACAAAGCTAGTAGAGGGAAAGTAAGAAGAAATAGTTATTTTTGCAAGCTGTAAATATTCTGTTCCTTTTGTTATTTTAGATATATAGCTTCAAAACATGGAGGAACTTCTAAACTATTCATTTTCACTCCCACTTTCTCTCTGCTTCTTCCTTGTAGCACAGCCTGTCCTGAATACTAAAGCTCGTTAGCATGGCCACCAATGACGGCAAATGAACGCTGTTTTTTTTCTGTAATGACGCGTTTCTCTGATTAGGACATTTAGCAGTGAGTACACAGAGTTGATTGATAGCGCTAGGACCCTCCTCCCAGGTCTGATTGGTTGTTTTTGGTAACGAGTGGTGGATTTCTTCCAATGGAGATAGAAGCACAACCAGATCAATTTTTTTCTCAGATTATCATTCTCACATTGTCGGAACACAAGAACAGTTTTAACAAATATGTAAAAAAAAACAAAAAACAAAACATGCTTTTTATAAAATTTACATACTGCAGCTTTAAAAGACGACATGTTTCTCTGGAGAAACAAGTTGCAGATTCCCGTCTTTCATTCTGCTGCCAGTACGTTGGGTGTAAACACAGGGCGCATGTGTGCGCACGCTAACATCCCACAGACATGGGAACTACCAGAGCGCATTTCTGATGTCCTTGTTCACACGTTTTGTTGATGTGCCACGAACCCGGAGAGAGCCAGCTGCCGGCTCCACGTTGGGCCTCAAAGAAAATCAGTACAGGCTGCTAATTGCCAGGCA